GTAATGCTTATACAATTGCAGTTAATAAAACTTTTGTATGTTAACAGAGTCCTTCTGTGTTTGGGGTGTGATCGTGAGCAATTCATTACAGGGAGAGGAGGAGGAAGAAAGAGGGGGGAGGAGGGGGAGAGGAAGAGGAGGAGAGGGAGAGAAGAGGGAGAGAAGAAGAGGAAGAGGGGAAGAAAAGAGGGAGAGAAGAGGAAGAGGAGATAGAGAAGAGAGAAAGAGGAGGAGAGGGAGAGAAGAGGGAGAGAAGAAGAGGAAGAGGGGAAGAAAAGAGGGAGAGAAGAGGAAGAGGAGATAGAGAAGAGAGAAAGAGGAGGAGAGGGAGAGGAGAGGGGGAGGGAAGAGGAGAGAGGGAGAGGAGAGGGAAAGAGAAGAAGGAGAGGAGGAGAGAAGAGGAAGGGAAGAGAGGAAAGGAGGAGAGGGAGAAGAGGAAGAGGAAAGGGAGAGAAGAGGAGGAAGAGAGGGAGGGGAAGAGGAGAGGGGAAGAGGAGAGGGGGAGGAGAACAGGAAGAAGGGGGAGAGAAGAGGGAAAAGGGGAGAGAAGAGTGGGAGAGAGAAAAGAGGGGGAGAGGAAGAGGAAGGAGAGGAGGAGAGTGAGGGTGCGAGAAGAGGAGAGAAGAGGAGGGACAGCGGAGGTGGTATTCAGCAGGTTCTGACCAGTTCTGAAGAACCGGTAGTGGAAATTTTGAGTAGTTCGGAGAACCGGTAAATACCACCTCTGGCTGGCCTCGCCCCCATCTATTCTCTGCCTACCAGTTGATCCCAGCTGATCTGGACGGAATGGGGATTTTGCAGTATCCTTCCCTTGCAACACCCACCAAGCCAGGCCACACCCACCAGGCCACGCCCTCAGAACCGGTAGTTAAAAAAAAAAGAATCCCACCACTGAGTAGGAGGAAGAGGAGGAGAGTCTTGATGTAAAGGACAGGAGGGACGAATGGGCAACACAATTGAAAGAGTTGGGGCTGTTATGGGCTCAGGAGAGTGCCTTCTGATATGGATGGAGGACTATTGTCCAGAGTAGACATCAGCCTCCTCAAACTTGATGCTCTGTTCTGAGAACCAGGCGGGTGGGAACGGAGACCAGGCAGATGGTGAAGTCAAAACAACCTTGATTTGAGCTAACAGATAAAAGCTAACCAGTGAGGCAACAGGGGGAAACTCCCTCTGACAGCTCTTTATATAGCAGCTGTCAGACGGGCCGAGCAATGATGAGGCTGCGTTCTCCCGCCAAGCGGCTGTCACAGTTCAGCCAATGGGAGGCGCTTCCTGGAAGGCACGCTCCTGGATCTTCAACATAGCTTCGAGGACTTTACACTTTACAGCTTTAAGATGTGCGGACTTCCACTCCCAGAATTTCCCAGGCAGCCATGCCGGACTAGAGAATTCTGGGAGTTGAAGTCTTAACCCCTCTTAAAGTTGCTACACAGGAAACAGGCCCTTACACACCAATTGTTCCACGCGGTCCTATATGTTAGCAATAGCACTTTAGACTTATATACTGCTTCACAGGGCTTTAACAATCTGTTTAATAATTTAATAATTATTTACAAGCTGACACCCGGCACTGTCCAGGTATTTATTTATCCCAACCCTTCTCTTACCATGAATGTAGAGAGCCGAGGTGGCGCAGTGGTTAGAGTGCAGTACTGCAGGCCACTTCAGCTGACTGCTATCTTCAGTTCGGCAGTTCAAATCTCACCGGCTCAAGGTTGACTCAGCCTTCCATCCTTCCGAGGTGGGTAAATTGAGGACCCAGACTGTGGGGGCAATTTGCTGACTCAATTTGCTAAAAATCTGTAAACTGCTTAGAGAGGGCTGAAAGCCCTATGAAACGGTATATGTCTAACTGCTATTGCTAACTGCTATGTGGCCTCAAGTTCCAATGTTGGATTTTCCCTCTTACCAGGGGGAAGCCCCCTTGTGGAGTACTGTGAAACCATTAACCATGGCAACTCCACAGGGCTGAACAGTAGAATCCATTTTAAGGCAGTGCAGTAGAAGCTATTTTAAAGCAGTACAGTAGAATCCATTTTAAGGCACAACAGGCTGTATCTTAACAGAACACCACCACCCCCGAGGGGTGTTAGGAGTATCTTACCCCTACAGTATTTATTTCCAGAGGGTAAGAAATCTGTGTACCAGGTTTGATTGAAATTGCTTAAGGCATTCCAGAGTTATTCTGGAACACACACACACACACACACACACACACACACACACACACACACACACACACACACACACACCCAGTTTTATAGAGAGAGAGATGTATTTATTTTGCACAAATTGAAAAAGGGAAGAGAAATTCCGAGGCCTGCCCCTTGGGCAGGAGCGAAAGTTTTTTTTTTAATTGAAAATTTTTGGAAAAAAAAACTTTTACAAATGTTTACCCTACNACCGGTGACGGACCCACAACAGAGGCAGCCGCAGTTTGCTGACTCCTGGGCTAGGCAATCGCCTCCGAGCGCTGCTGCACACGTTCCTAGATGTGCAGCCATGAAGCAATGTAGATTATTCTTTATACTATTTATGTTGTTTGTACTTTATGTCCTGGCTTGCACCAGTGAGGCTAAAACCAATTTTGTTGTATTCATGATGTACAACGACAATAAAGCAGTGGTGCAATTCAGCCGGTTCTATCCGGTTCAGGCGAACTGGTAGCAGTGGCAGCAGGAGGCTCCGCCCACCTGCCCAGACATCATCACATCCTGTTTTTGAGCCTCTGCGCATGTGTGGAGGTGGTGCGTGCGTATTCACATGTGCAAAAGTACCGTATTTTTTGGAGTATAAAACACATCTTTGTTCTTCCAAAAAGAAGGTGAAAATCTGGTTGCTTCTTATACACTAAATACAGCATTTTTGGCCTACTGAAACCCTTCTAAAAATGGATGTGCAGAGGGTTTGGGAGGCCTCCAAAGTGCTCCTGGAGAGGGCAAAGTGAGCAAAAAATGGTCCGTTTTGTGCTTGTTTTTGCCCCCCCCCAGCCCCCAGAAGCATTCTACAAGCCTCCCAAAGTCTATGCATGCCCTGTTTTTTGCAAAAAATGGGCCCGTTTTTTTTTCTCGTTTTTGCCCCCTCCCCAGCTTCCAGGATCACTTTGCAGGCCTCTCAAACTCTCTGCATGCCCCGTTTTTGACAAAAAATGAGGCGTTCAGAGGGTTTGGGAGGCTTGCAGAGTGCAAAAACGTTTTTTTTTTAAAAAAATAATTTTATTTTTTATTACATAGACAACATAATCACATAACAATAGAAAAAAAAAACAAAGGGAAAAGGAGAGGGAAAAAAAGGAAAAACAAAAACAAAAAAAACACCCATCATCCCACGTTTTTTTTTTAATTTACCTCTTCAAAATCATGGTGCGTCTTATACTTCGGTGCGTCTTATTGTCTGGAAAATATAGTAAGCAGATTTCACTCCTGCAATATACTATACTGTACTATACTATAATCCAGGCTTAAAGCTGCAGGGGGGGGGGAGGCCTCAGTGAATTCACACAACCTCCTTCTCCTTTCCCAGGTCCCAAGCGAGACGTTCACGCGGCCAAATGCTTCATCCTGGAGATGTACAGCGACATCTTCCATCAGTTTCTCGACGGGCCTCTATGCAGCGGTTCCCCTTCGTCCTCCCGACCCCGGTTCCTTTACCACCATTACACCTGCGCCACCGACACGCAGAACATCTGCGCTGTTTTCGCGGATATCAAGGACGCCGTTCTGGCAAGCTACTTGGAAGAGTTTAACCTGGTTTGAAACAAGCCGGCTCCAGCTGCATCACGGAATTTCTGGGCTCGCCATCCAGATGTTGCCTCGGACTCGTGAGAAACCGGAGAGACTGAATTCACAAGGAAGCATTCCTGTGGGGGGCGCCGGGGTGAAGGAGAGTCACTGTTTCTCATATCCTTTGCCCCGTCTTCCTGTGGGAACCTTGGATAGAACTGGGGCAGAGGGGATATTCAGCCGGTTTGGAGTGGTTCGCCCGAACCGGTTGTGGAAATTGCAGGCGGGGCTTCCCACCCGCTCCTGCTCTGTGCCGTCCTATTTAGGCACGTTTTCAAGCCACGCGCATGCCAGCAAGCCGCGCACGACAGTAAAGCACATGCACGGAAGGCTGTGTGCATGCGTTGATGCGCACACTCACATTTGCGAACCAGTTGGTGAATGCCACCCCTGAACTGGGGGCAATCCAGAGTCCCACTGCCGGGCAGGATTTTTTGAAATAATGTTGCAGCTGCACCACTGAGCAGATGTACGACTTAAACAGAGTAACAGAGTTGGAAGGGGCCTTGGAGGTCTTCTAGTCCAACCCCCTACTCAAGCAGGAAGCCCGACACCATTCCGGACAAATGGGTTTCCAATCTCTTCTTAAAAACCTCCAGTGTTGAAGCACCCCCAACTTTTGAAGGCAAGTCGCTCCACTGATTAATCGATTAAATTAATCAATGGAACCGATGATCTGATTCAAGTCTTAGTAAGGCCACACCTGGAATAACTGCATCCAGTTTTGGTCACCACATGACAAAAAAGATGTTGAGACTTTGGGGGAAATAATGCAAAGAAGAGCAATTAAGATGATTAAAGGCCTGGAGACTAAAACATACGAAGAATGGTTGCAGGATTTGGGTTTGGCCAGTCTAGAGAAAAGACTAGGGAGGATGTGATATTCCAGTATCACAAAGAAGAGGGAGTCAACTTATTTTCCGTAACACCAAAAGGCAAGGGAAGAAACAATGGATGGAAACGAATCAAGGTGAGAGAACCAACTTGGAATTAAGGAAAAACTTCCTAACAGTGAGGGCAATTAACCAGTGGAACAGATTGACCTGTGGGTGTTTCATCACTGGAGGTTTTAAAGAAGAGACTGGACAGCCATTTGTGTGAAATGGTATAGGGTCTCCTCTTTGAGGAGGGGGTTCGACTAGAAGACCTTCAAGGTCCCTTCCAGCCAGTGGTGAAATTCAAAATTTTTTACAACTGGTTCTGTGGGCGTGGCTTGGTGGATGTGACAGGGGAAGGATACTGCAAAATCCCCATTCCCTCCCCACTCCTGGGGTCAGCCAGTATTCCAAGTGTGGCCTCACCAAGGCATTATAAAGTGGTACTAACACTTCACGTGATCTTGATTCTATCCCTCTGTTTATGCAGCCTAGAACTGTGTTGGCTTTTTTGGCAGCTGCTGCACACGGCTGGCTCCTATTTAAA